GTAAGCGGGTCCGCAAAGAAGCCACTCACACGGGACAACGTGACTGAAACTGACAACCAGGGTGAGGAGGAGCAGTGAAACGATGTTTCTAGATGCTTAGTCACTACTCTTGTCGGTGTTGAAACGTTGTTTAGTTGATTTTGGTTGTTTCTGAGGTAAGAATGAATCTTGTGTGTAGTAAGTTAGAGACTAAGAAGCCTTTGACCATGCCAACATGCAGTTCATTCATTAAATTGCAATCTTTGCGGAGTCAATGTATATTATTGCTACTTTAAGTACCATAATCTACATTGATCTCACAACGCTTAAGCCGAACCTACTCGAACAATTCTATTCGGGGGGATAGCTAATTCTTTTTGATAAGTCTCGCCATAGACTTCCAAAACATTTATGGGGAAACCAAACACCCAATCTCAAGTCGTTCGTCTACAAGACAACAGACATTTGAACCAAACTATATTTTGCCATGTAAAGCTAACTTAAGCCAAGTTAGAAATGGAAAAATAGTTTGGAACCCTTTTCTATAGGCTTAAACCCCTGTAGTTACCCCTTTCAGCATGCTCCACCCCTTAACTGGTAGTTGTAGCTGTTCCCAACCATAATAGCTTACACACCAGGTGCATATAGTTTAAGGCCTTATGTAAAATCCCCTTCATAGGCCCACCTTAAACCACATAATTGCATGACACATTGAACCAGAACGGCACAGGCTGGACGTCGCTGGAGACAACCTTCGCTGGAGGCGACCTGCAGTCCTGACGTTGGTCTCCACTCTTCATCCAGTGGCCGCTTCTTCAGTTCAACCCAAGGGTACCCCTCTGTATGCTGATTAATCAACACTTCCAATCGTTGTGGATTTACCATTGTGGATTATATGACTTTTTCCAGTGGATTACAGACTCTGTTTCCAAGGGGTTAAAGCATTGCTACAATGGAATTATCGAGACGATATGGAATTATAATCAACACAATGGAATTACCAAGAACATTGTGGAATTACCTTGACTTTTGTTTTCCTTGCTGGATTACTCTTGACTCTTGTTTCTTTGCTGGATTACATCAAGCTTCAAGGACAATCGACGACGTAAGTCCATAGTTGGAATTCATCTCCATGGACAGGTGATGATTTCCAAAGGGGGGACTGTAGTGGACTAGGCCTACGTCGAAACTAAGTCTAAGGTCAAAACTCTTGACCTTTAGAACCTTGTGGGACAGGAACTGTCATTTCATTCATTTGAACTCAGAAATACAGGTTCACCCATCCTGAGACTTTCTCTCTTGAAGATTCAAGTGAAAAGAACACTCTCTGTTTTATTATCATTACTATTGTTCAAATGTTGATAATCAAAGTGTCTTAGTTCAAACCATTTTAGATGTTGCAGTGAACTAATCAATTTTATTAACTGAGTAATGATTTTTATTCTCATGTCAAAAGCTGTTGCAGAGTTTAGGCATTTTCTGATTTCTGCCTTTGAATGAGCAAGTGTGTGCGTTTCCAAGGTTACAGTCAAACGAAAAACAAGTTGTTATGTTAAACTGTCATGTTTTAGAATCCTCTCAGACATAAATATAGATGTTTTTCCACCTGTTTCTTAAACACGCCAAAACAAAACCCTCTCGGTCTGTGAGAACATTTCTGACCTGTCTCATAACAATTCTCGCTGTCTCTAACCTCTTACGTCACAAAACCCACCCCGTCTGGTCGTTTCTGACCAATGAACAAATCCCAAAAAGTGAACCGGGAAAGAGTCTTTAAAATGTCAGTACTTCCTGGTCTACACAGAGTTGGAGAGTTGTCAGACTTCTAGAGAGTTGGAGAGTTGTCGGAGTTCTAAGAGTTCTGAGAGCGTAGAGTTCGGTGAGAGTCTACTCAAGTTCTGCTGAGTTCTGATGGAGTGCTGTTGGAGTTCCTGACATGACAACAAAGCTCTCCCGAGTTCCATGGGATTATAACATTTTCCACTGAGGTGAATATGTGTCGAACAGAGCCTCGCCATTACTTCGGACGAGTAACAGCATCCTACTGAGACGCTGAAAGGGTGCGTTAAACGGAATCTCACCTGAGACATCTCCAGGTAAAGGAGCCGATTTCATCACCTAAGTGTACTGTAAGGAAAAGCTGAAGAAAGCCGGAGAGTGTCGATTCTGGTGAACACTTAATTTCCCTCACATACCATCTTAACTCCCTCTAAACTTCTTTCCATCTTTAAACTTTTCTATCAAGTAGAAATTCTTCCAGATATTTAGAAATGTCTGTGTAAAATGCTCACCCACATTCATGTGGGCAAAAGATCATAGTTGTACAGTTTTCATAAATGTCTTTGGTGCAGCAACGGAAAAATCATGGCCGTATGATTTTTCCTGATTGATTGCTTATATTGTTATTTTCATAATTTGCCAAATTAATGTAAATGTTTGATGTTAAATTTGATTCTGTAAATAAATGACCGCATTCATTTTGATGGGTCAAATATAAATGACGTCTCACTTTGCATTTCCTTAAATTCAATGCACGTTTTATTCAGTCCAGAAAAATGAGGAACCCGCGTTAAATGATGAATATATCCCAGCATCTGTTCATCTACAGAAGTGATTCTGCTTGAATCCCTTGTGTTCTTCGCTGCAGTCGAGCCACGGTCACAGTGTTTTATGATTCTTGTTTGCTTTAACCAATAAAAAGTGTCACCTTTAGCTGCTCTCTGACACACTTCACAGGGACACATTTTGTTGGGCTCTGGAGACTCTTGAGTAGGCGTTTTGTCTAAGGGTGCATTCACACCAGCCCTGTTTAGTCCGCTTTAATCGAACTCTAGCTCGTTTTCCTAGAAAGTCCGGTTCGTTTAGGGAGGTGTGAACGCGCCATCGAACTCTGTCACGGAACAAAAAGGCGAACTCTGGCCCGGGCTAAAACCTAGGTCTCGGTCCGGTAGAAGCGAACTCCAGCGCGGTTCGAGTACAGTGTGAATGCAAACAGACCGAGCCCCGCTCCACAGGGTAAACAAACACGCATTGCTCTGACCTTATATGGAGCCGTCAGCTGCCTTGTGGGAAAAACAATATTCTCCATGGTCTTCTGTCTCATCTTCTGCTCATGCCAAGTCCATTTTTGAAAAATGACAAAATATAACTCCTAAAACTGCTAAAACTTGATGCCACTTAGTTTTTATTTTTATTTACAGAAGAAGAAGAAGACGTGTCTTCAGAGGTTTTTGTGTTGTTTCTTTCAGTAGTTCTTGGTGCAGCGCCCCCACAGGCGAGCGGGGGAATAGGTTGGTTCAACAGGTGGACTCGACTGCACAGTACAGTGTGAATGCAAACGCACCAGCTCAAATGTAAACAAAAGCTCATGAATATTGGTCCCGAACCGAACTGAGTCTACCGGACTATCTAGTGTGAAAACGACCTAAAATATCCTGACGCATGCTCAATAACGTCCCAGTGGCTTTCAACCACCAAAATACATTACGGCAAAGACTGGTTCATCCCAAAGATCCAGTCCACCGGCACAAACAGTAATGTTGTGTATGCTGTTCAGTGTCAGGAGGGCTGTGATCAGTCTTACATCGGGGAAACTAAACAGCCACTGGCCAAAAGGATGGACCAGCACAGAAGAGCAACATCATCAGGCCAGGACTCTGCGGTCTACACTCATCTCCAGGCCAGCGGTCACTCTTTCAGGGATGAAGATGTTCACACCCTGGACAGAGAGGAACAATGGTTTTAGAGAGGAGTAAAGGAGGCCATCTTTGTGAAAAGAAACCGTCCGTCATTAAACAGGGGTGGAGGCCTCTGGGTTCAACTTTCGGATGAAAGACGAAACGTTTCTACAATTTTTTTGTTTTGTTTTGGGTTTTTTTTTGAACGTCCAGAGGACCTGACCACTTTTTTAGATGCAGGCTTACTTGCGGCTCCTAGAGTTTCCAAAAACAGTTTGGGAGGAAGATCTTCCAGTTATCAGGCTCCTCTTGTGGAACCAACTTCCAGTTTCTGTCCGTAAGACTGACCCATTGTCCAGTTTTAAGACCAGGCTTAAGACTTTCCTTTTTGATAAATCCTATAGTTAGTGTTGGCTTGTTGTTAAGACTACTAGAGGACACATTTACCTCATTTCCTTAAATGAATTGTTAAACTTTATTAAACGAATTGTAAAAATTGAATAGTTTTCATTTGATAGTGTTTCTATCGTAACATGATTCTTGACCTGCCATTGTGTATCTGTTCCTCCTTCCTGTTCCTCTCAAACCCAGCCGGTCAAAGCAGATCCAGGCTCAGGACTGCTTGCTAATATTTTTTTCCTCATGAGGGTGTTTCTTCTTTCCACTGTCGCCTTCGTGCTTGCTCAAGATGAGAGTCTGGGATGAAGTTGGCAGCGCGACGGCTCAGTGGTTAGCACTGTTGCCGCACAGCAAGAAGATCCTGGGTTCAATCCCCGATTGGACCTGGGGTCTTTCAGTGTGGAGTTTGCATGTTCTTCTCGTGCTTGCGTGGGTTTTCTCCGGGTACTCCGGTTTCCTCCCACAGACCAAAAACACGAGGGCTCTGACCTCCGTTGCAAAAGAGATTGTGATCTCAGTGGGATTTGCCTGGTTAAACAAAAGTTAATCTGCTCCTCAGATAATGTTAACTTGTTTATATATATATGAATGTTTCTGCCCAGAGATGACTTCTGTTGTGACTTGGTGCTGTAGAAATAAACTGAATAGAATTGAATGAAGATGTTCACATCAATGATGGAGAGGAACGTTTGTTTGAGAGAGACTGTGAGGAGGTGCTATATATGAGTTTGTTACAGCTCCTCAGACTCAAGAAGTCTTTAAGATTTTAATTTTTTTTTTTGAGTCCATCCAGGGGACCTGATTTAACTTTGTTAGACTTGTCTAAAATAGTTTAAGGAAATGCTGCTTTCAGCCATGAGCAGAGTTTGTTTCCTTCTTTCCTCCCCTTCTGCTGCGACTCATTTGTTGTGGGGTGTTTAAAGGCATCATGTGTCTGTCAGTACCTTAAGAGCTCCTTGTGATGGCCACTCCTGAGACAAACGGGTCCTGTAAGTTGTTTTCCTGCTGTACGTCAGAGGCCATCTTATCAAGGGTCTTCCTGTCAGCCGTGCGACGAGTTAAAGGACCAGAAATGATAAATCCATCCAAAGGACAGGAGTTTTTCTCCAGGAGGATCTGGTCCACACAGTCCATGTGGAACTATAGTGCACACACACAAAAAAAATGTTGAAATGAGAGTTGGATGAGGTTTCTCTAAACATGATGCTCATTTTAGTCATTTCCATTACATCTACGGAAGAAGACAATTCTAGTGTTTTGTGTATCAGGCAGAGGTGGAAAGTAACAGATTACATTTACCATATTTTTCACCATATACGTCGCACTTTTTTGCATAAATTTGCAAGTCTGAAACAACTTTTTTTTTACCCTTATTTATAACACAACTTTTGGCTGAGATCTGACGATTTAATTCATTCTGACATGGAAAATATTGAACACTACCATTTTCAGCCACTAGAGGGCTCTCAAGCATTATGGCAAGCAAAGTGTCTCATTAATAGGTAAAAGTGGCTATTAATGAGACACTTGGCTTGCCAAAGCAGCCACCGTCATCTCACTCCGGAACTCTTGGAGCAAACTTTAAATCAGCTTCATTTCGCAGCGCCGCCCAGGTGAAATGCAGCTGAGTTGACCATCAAAGTGCATTTATTAAGGAAAAGTTCAACTGAGACACATCTTTGCTATAATTTAGAGCAAACAAATAATTGTTTTTAAGTGGTAATCTTGTTAAATTCTTGCTAAAGTCCTCCTGTTCATACTCACGCGGCCGCCATTTGGTAACCAATTGATTTTTGGCACAACGCTGGCTCACATTTCCGGGTTTGTCAGCGGTGACGCATAACAAACGCAACGCGTTAGCAGTGTCGCATAATAGATGCAACTTATACGGCGAAGCGACTTATTTATGATTTTTTTTCCACTTCTTGGTTCAAACCCCGGTCCGGGGGCCTTTCTGGGTGGAGTTTGCATGTTCTCTCCGTGCATGCGTGGGTTTTCTCCGGGTACTCCGGTTTCCTCCCACAGACCAAAAACATGCATGTTAGGCTGATTGGTAACTCTAAATTGTCCCTAAGTGTGAGTGAGAGAGTGAATGGTTGTTTGTCTCGTTTGTCTCTATGTGGCCCTGTGATGGACTTGCGACCCGTTCAGGGTGTACCCCACCCCTCGCACAGTGATTGCTGGACATGGGCACCAGCGACCCCCATGACCCAAAATGGAACAAGCAGGTAAAGATAATGGATGGATGGATGGACTGATGCGACGTGTACGGCGGAAAGTACGGTATTCACATTACAGTAATTGAGTTTCATTTCAGTGTATTTTGTGCTTTTTAAATAATTTATCCAGTTTGTACTTTTACTTGAGCATGTATTATTTCAAGTACTGAACTAGAAGTTTGACTTTAAATAAGCCATTGAAGACTGTGGATGACTGTGCCCACTCTTTGTGCCACTTTGTCTGTTAGAGTAAACCTCAGCAGACCTACATTTGTCAGTGCTAAACTGATGGGCAGCTAAACCTCCAACCCAACTTCTACTGAAGCTGAACTCACAAAAAAGTTACCTGTTTTATAGACAACCTAAGTTCAAGTTAAAGAAAGGAAGTTGATTCATCCTGCTGTTAACTGTGCTACTTCACTGAGTTTAAAACACATTTGTTTGTTAAAAAAAGTTCTTATTAATAAGAGAATTTGTGGAAATTAATCACCTATCAGTACCTGACTATGCTAGTGTTGGTTAGCTCTGTTCAGTGGTGGGCACAGTTCCGCTAATCCGCTAACGTGGAACAAATTTTTCATTTAGCGGACTAGCGTTTTCGCTAACTGTCAAGGGAATCTTGGTAAAGGTTTATGGATGTTTGTCACTAAGACTTGTTTTTCCTCTCAGAGAGGAGCCTGCAGGCGCACCTGATAAATCCAAGGTCGTCCCCGAGTCTGTAAACTGGGTCGTCTTGACCTCGCCTTTGTCTGATAAGCGTGTATTATAAAACACTTCCTGCCTCACTGTCCGGTGCAGATATTCATGACCGAAAACCAAGTATGTAACTTTTGGCTTGTTGTGAACTCTGCCCTTGCAAATAAAAGACCGGTTAAAAATCTTCTCGTGTCCTCAGAGTGGCTTATTTTTGTAAAAGTAGATGATGAAAGAATATTTATTTATCCAACACTAACTTTGGAAACCGTTAATGGAATTAGCTTCTGCTGAATTAGGTTTCTCAAAACTTTAAGTCCGCTAAGAAAATTCACAAGCTTGTTCATGTCTGTTGTGGGCGTGTCTTCAAGAGTCTGTTAGGCACGCTATTGGCTCACTACGTGTACACTTGACGTGACTGGTCGATGCAGCTTCGGAGACGAAGACGTGTGACACAGACTATGTGACAGTCGTCTGAGCAGTTAGCTGTTTGTTGTTAGCTCCTGCTAATTTTTTTTTACGTTTAGCGGGTTTTTTTTTTTTTTTTTTTTTAGTGGAAAATGGGTTAGTGAAGTTAACTTTTTGGTTAGCTGTTCCCACCACTGGCTCTGTTGTAGCTGGTCGCTAGTTACGTTAATGCTGTAACCTAATGTGATCATAAACAGAGAGCATCAGTAACTCCTAAACTCACAACTGAAAACACGTCGGGGAATCAATAAGTGAACCTGGTCTAATTAAAACATACAGCCTGATGTTTAATAATACTATTAAGGCTGAAGAGATATAACCTTTTTATTTTTTACGTCATTCCAGACTCTTTATCGCAGCAGACTTTCTACATTTATACATCATCTAATGAGTCACTCTGTCAGGTATGAGGCGCCGTTTGTAAAGTTACACAGTCAAAAATTAACAGCAATATTTTGGTTTATTTAGCCTTTCATAAAAAAAATTAAAAAAAAGGTTTTTTTTCAAAATCATATTTTCACCATGGTATTCATACATTTATAAATGTCATAGTTCCAAACTAAATATTTAATTTACAAGCTAAATATTTAATTTACAAACTACATACTTACTTGCAAGCTAAATATTTAGTTAGCAAGCTAAATATTTAGCTCCATGCCAAATATTTAATTTACAAACTAAATGTTTATGTCCAAGCTAAATGTTTATTTTACAAACTGAATATTTAACGTGCAAGATAAATATTTAGTTAGTGAACTAAATATTTAGGTGTAAATTAAATATTTAATTTCCACGCTAAAGTTATTTTCAAAACTAAACATTTAATTTCTAAGCTAAACATTTAATTCATAAACTAAATATTTAATTTGCTAAGTAAATATTTAGCTCTGAGCTAAACATTTAACTTGCTAGCTAAATATTTAGCTTGCAAGTTAATTATTTATTTGGAAAATTTAGTGGTTAGTTTGGAAAATAAATATTTAGGTCCGAGCTAAATATTTAGTTAGCAAATTAAATATATATATATATATTTTTTTAATTAAATATTTAGCTTGGAAAATAAATATTTAGGTTGGAGTTAAATGTTTAAATAGCAAATTAAATATTTAGTTTAGGAATTAAATGTTTAGCTTAGAAATTAAATGTTTAGTTTGGAAATTAAATGTTCAGTTTAAAAATAAATATTTAGCTTGGAAATTAGATATTTAGTTTGGAACTATGACATTTATAAATGTATGACTAACATTGTGAAAATATGACTTTTAAAAAAACAAACTATTTTTTTCTTATGAAAGGCCTAATAAACCAAAATATTGCTATTAATTTTTGACTGTGTAACTTTACAAATGGCACAGTCAGGTGGTTTTATTTGTAATTTATGAGAAGCAATGTCTCAGTAAAAATATTAGCCATTTAAGTGTGAATAAGAATATTTATTAAAAGTCACAATCAGAAGTTGTCTGAACGTTAAAAGGGATAGTTCAGTTATTTTGAAGAGTCTGTAAATTCAGTTCAATTTACAGTGACCCTTTGAATGTTTCAGTTTTTTTATTGCTGCCGCAAATCAAACACGATCGATAAAAATCAGCCTTCTTTACAAAAAAAATAAAGAAAAATCAAATTCTATAAAGTAACGTAAATTAAATAAAAACATGTTATGTAAAACAAGTGTACTTTTAAAGGAGCTTCTCTAATTCAACTCCGAGAAAAGATTTTTGAAAAGCACAAGCCAGTATGGATACAAAAGGATTTCCCAACATCCCTAGAAGTTCTGTTAAATTCATCATCAAGGAACGGAAAGGATATGGAGCATGTGTAAATCTACCAAGAGCAGGACGTCCCAGCTAACTGTCTGACAAATGCAAGAAGGAGAATAGTAAGAGGGACCACCAAGATACCTGTGACCACTCTGAAGAAGTTACAAGCTTCAGCAGGTGAAATGGAAAAGACTGAGCATACACCTGTTTGGTTGGATCCAGTAACTCTCAGGTTTACTAATATTAAAATGAACAAATAAGACTGCCTTGAATGAATAAAACTTATACTGGATTCGTAGACTGAAAATAATTACATAAACACTCATTTTAAACACAACAGCCATGACTTCTTAATATCACATATGAGTTGCCCCTTCAAGTAGCATTTCCGCTTCTACCCTTAAAAAAATCTCCACCCCTAAAAGTGTGGTGGGGGTGAGTGCCGAGCCAACCAGGAAGTCGTACGTGGGCAGGAGCCCACAGTCAGCCGCCATGAACAGACGGAGGAGTCGGGCTCAGAACCATCAAGTAAGGACGAGGGGGATAGTATGCTTGACAGAAGCGGAGTAAACGTAGATGTTTAACAACCCGTTAAAATACACCAAGATGCAGGAAATCACATCTACTTTATTCAAATTTTTTTGGGGCAGGACCCCCAGATCCTCCCCCACCAGCCCGCCCACTATTTATATTCCGGCATCCATCGGTTTACAAATTAAGCCCTGGTCCTGATAAGTAAAACACAAAAATAAGAGAGTGGGCTTGTTTTCTCTGACTTGTACATAGATGTGAAGCCTATCACATCTTACTGTTTTCCAATTTCCTCTAAATGTAGCATTGTATTTAAGTAGCTAATGAGTGGTTCTCAGCGCCAACTTTACCTTGTGGCGGCAGGGCAGACTTCGGACACTCTGACCCAAACTAAAACCCTGCAGACAGATCCGACACTGCATCCCCTCTTTCAAAAGCTGAGACCTCGATCTCACTCTGACTAAGGGCAGATGCTCCAAAATTTTATTTGGTAAAAGTTCTGCAACAGTCCTGACAAGGAGAGGAGGGAGATTCAGCAACAATGAGAATGGGACATCAGAACTTGATTAGAACTTACCTTTCATGATGTGGATTACAAGTAAGTCCTGTTCGGTCACCTGTCGGGTCGTCTGCTACAAGAATCCACTTCGCTCTTCTTGTCTGTTTATGTGCACAGATAACTGTTTTTACTCTACAACCACTGGAAGCACTGTTTTATTTTATACCGCTACAAGCAGTAGAAACGATCTGGTTTTGATATTTAGCTGGTGAAAAGAAAAGTAAAAGCTGAAGTTTTCAGTTTAGGAACTGAGAGCTTAGTCCAAATGGCTTACGGCTTTTGAAGCGAGTGGATGCTGTGAGTGGCAGCCTTTCTGAACGCAGTCCTTACAGAGATGGAGGCAACTGCAGACGGTACATCTGGAAAACAAACGTGAACTGTAGTAGAACCTCATTCAACAGATGGCAGCCTTTTAATAAAGGCAGCCGTTTTGTTGGTATAAAAGCATCCAATATTGATGGATGCCTACAAGTAAACCAATAATCTAAATGTGCTAAAACAACACTTTCTACCTTGAAAGGTGAGCAATTTGTGTGTATGTTTGTCAGTCTGTTAGCAAAATAACACGTATCATGAGACAGGTTTGATAACACTCTCGGAAAATATTCATCAAATGTCTAAAACAACTATCGATATCAAAGTTCATGCTCAATAATCCAGGTACAAAATCCAACAAAGTTATGTCAGGTCATCTGGACATTTTTTTTTTTTGTTGTTGAGCTGTTTCAACCTTCATCCAAAGGACTTCATCAGTCTGAGGAGCCACAACAAACTCAGTCCCACAAGCAGCACACTCCCATAGTGGGCCAACCAGTTTGCTGGTGATAAGATGGTTTCTGGGGCCCACCCTCTCCCCCAGTGACTCCTCTGAGGCAGCCATAGCCAAAAGTGGTTCAAAACATCAAAGTTCGTGCTCAATAATCCAGGTAAAAAAAAACCTAACAAAGTTAAGTCCGGTCATTTAAACAACTTTATTTGTTGAGACGTTTCATCCTTCATCCAAAGGACTTCATTGGTCCGAGGAGCCACACACAAACTCAGTCCCACAAGCAGCAGTTTGCTGCTGATAAGTTGGTTTCTAGTTGACCCACTATGCGAGTGTGCTGCTTGTGGGACCGAGTTTGTGTGTGGCTCCTCAGACTGATGAAGTCCTTTGGATGAAGACGAAATGTCTCAACTAAAAAAAGAAACCGCCCAGATGACCTGACTGAACATTGTTGTATTCATATTCATATTCAAATACCATAATTAAAGATAAAAGCAGGAGCCGGAGGATGTACACAAGGCAAACGCTCCCTCGTGGTTGGCTCCTGTCCAATTTTAAGCCCCGCCTCTACATGCAAATAAATGGGACATTTTTTTAACAAAAAAATAAAAATATACTTCAAATTTTTTTTTCAACTAAGTTTTTCTTGAGCTTTTACATTTCTGCTGTATGTTCAAATATACTTTTGAAATACTATTGTAGTTTCTATTACTTATTCGAGGCTTTTTAGAACTGTGTCGTGTCAGAGTTTGATTGACAGCCTATTAGCAAGTTAGGAGGGTGTGAAGGTGGAACTTTTACACTGAAGGTACAGACCCACATCCTGAGTGTGCCGCCTCTGGATTTAGAAATATAACATGGTGGCACCCCAAAAAACATCTGTTTGGGCTTCAACTTTAAAATGCAGGAGAAAGTGAAGACGCTTGCAAAACCAGAGGCTGACATTTTTTCGGGAATACCACAGGTCATGTGATTTCTGCAGGACGGGTGTCAACTTTAATATTACTCACGTGATTGGGGCAGTATGGGACAAGAAGTTAACAGAAGCAGTTGGGAGTGGGAACCAACCAATAGGACAAAAAAATCTACAAATAAAACAAATAAATACATCGGACAGGTGCCGCCATTTTGTAGTTTTCTTTCAATAAGCCTACACTGTATCGCAAGTCAAAAGAACTACACTGCCCAGAAGCCAACAGTGCTTCCGGTTGCTGCTTTCTGCTGAAATTCAAAGAACAGCAATGAAGAGAGTAAACACTAGCAGAGAAATTGATGTGGTAAAAATAGATTTGCAACGCAAATTCAGAAGTAACGACGTATCTGTTAGTCGGAACTGGCAGGAAAGTCTCAAATAATCCTGAACTTCATGAGAGTTGAGTGTGACGGTGTTAACACGCTGTATGCTGCTTGGAAAACGTGTTTAGTTTAAGTCAAGTACTCCAGCGAGTCAGGGACGAGTGGCCTCAAGAGGCACATTTTTCCAAAACTCAGGTACAGTATGTGAAGGTTGAGGACAGTTCTCTTGCTTTGTGCATTTTTTTTTGTTTAAGTAATTTAAAACATAAAGTTAATGTCACCATTTAAAGGAAACGGTAGACATGGTGTGACCCATGTACGGTTATTCTTTAAATTTTGTTTTTACTGTAACTGACCTCCAAAAGAGCTAGTAACAGGGACTTAGCAGCTGATCCTCCATAGAAAAACTATAGGAAACATAGGCCATGGATTATTTGTGTTTTGAGCCCTTTAGTGAAGGTTTTTTTGTTCGGATTAAGGCAATAAATGCCTCCCTATTTCACCACAGATGAACTGTTCCTGTTGCCATATCCTTTAAAACTGCAGAACACAAAGTAATATAAAAAGGAATGGGTAGAAAATTAAATCAAATTCAATGTATTTCCTAAAAACTAAACGAAGAAAAAAAAATGGGAGTGGTACAGGGGTGGGAGTCATGTTACCGGGAGTGGGATGGGACAGGAGTTTTTATTTTACTCTGGCCTGGGAGTGGGACAGACCAGATTTTTTTTTTTTTTTGTGGGAGTGGGATGGGACAGGAATGAAAATCCACTTCAGTGTCACCCTCTATTGCAAACAGAGTTCAATGAGACAGCAACTGAAAATTTCTCCCATTTTCTCACAGTTTTGACTCCCCCAGCTGGCCTCCAACAGTCACAGTTGAGTGAGACACTGGCTTTAGTTTTTGAAACAAACCCAATTTAAAATGGCCGCCAAGGCCAACTGATCTTGAAAAGCAGAAAAATATGAAAGAAAGGAAAAAAAGGTCTGTCAATTTTACAGATACTGAGTGTGGTGGTTGATGAGACATTCACAACGCATGCTCAGACCACTTAACATTGCACAACCCGTTGTGTCTGTTAGCAAAACATCTTATGAACCAGTGGATGAAACTCTCAGAAAGTAATCCTTTGAAGTACCGTATTTGTCGGACTATAAGGCACACTTAAAATCCTTTAATTTTCTCAAAAATCGACAGTGAGCCTTATAATCTGGTGCGCCTCATGTATTAATTCTGGTTGTGCTTCTGACCTCGAGCCCATTTTATGTGGTTATTGTGAATGAGTTGAATAAAGTTTGACTTATCTGACTGTTTTGTTTCGCTTAATGCACCTTATGTATGAAAACAGACCCGTTCATTGATATTGCGCCTTATAGTTCGAAAAATACGGTACATCAACAGCCGTTTCTTTTGGAATCAGTCCAGTTCAAGATGGCAGATAATTGAACCTAGCCAGGACAAAAAAAACAAACCAACCATCTTTAACACAATTTGAACTCCAACAGAGCAGTTTTCTCCTGAGACATTGAGGTTTGGGAACGTTAGGTCTGTAATTTTTATGTGTTTTTGTGGAAAATGTGGAAAATTTAAGTATAAGACTTTCCATGTGTTTTTGGTAACACTGATGTCTGCAGTGAACCGGGCATCTTACCTGAAACAGGTACCAGAGATGGGGCAGGCCTGGCAGCTGTGGCAGACCGCCCCCAGGTGTTTGTTGGGCTTTTCTCTTTCTGCAGCGGTGAAGAGCAGTGCAGCGTTCTTCGCCTGCTCCTTGAGCAGCTTCGCAGAGCCGAAGCACTGCCTGCACAGAGGACACCTCACCGTCCACTGCTGCTCCGACAGAGCCTGGCGGTCCGCCCACACCTTCATGCAGGAGATGTGGACATTGTTGCCACAGCCGAACCTGAGGGGGACAAGGACAGAACGGGACACTGCAGGAACTCTGTCAGCAAAACGCTAACTTCCTGTCATAATCTGGGGGTTCAGATATCATTTTATTACATGCGACACTCTGGGTCAGCAAGTGGATGTGCAGAGGCGAGACCATGATTCTGCACAGGGTCATGTTCTGGTCGATGATGCAGAACTTCATCCTGAGACCCACCTGCAGTAAGACACAGGCTGTTTTTTCTGCAGCAGCTCCTCCTGACAGATGGGACACACATCCTCAGCCTGGATCGCTTTCCGGCAGACGCTTACAGCCTCCGGACCTGGAACCGCTAGTCCCAGAGTCCCCGAGGCGTCGAGCTCCGTCCCGGGTTGTAAACTATGGAGCAGCTCCAAGACCTCCCTGTCCACAAGTCCATCCTGGTACGAATCTGAAGCAGATATTTTTAACATGTGTCAGCAGCGGGACACACAGGATGAGCCCAAAACTTTACACAGAAAAACAGAACGGAATGAGAGGAAACAAATAAAAAACTGAGTTCTGACAGATCCAACAAAGTTCAGTCAGGTCATCTGGACTGTTGCTTTTTTGTTGTTGTTGTTGTTGTTGTTGTTGTTGTTGTTGTTGTTGTTGTTGTTGTTGTTGTTGTTGTTGTTGTTGTTGTTGTTGAGACGTTTCATCCTTCATCCAAAGGACTTCATCAGTCCGAGGAGAAAAAAAAAAAAAAAACTCAGTCCCACAAGCAGCACACTACTATAGTAGACCAACCAGTTTTTTGGGGATGAGATGGTTTCTGGAGTTCGCCCTCTCCCTTGTCGACTCCTCTGAGGCAGCCATAGCCAAAGTGGTTCAACGCAACCAATAAAGAGGGCGGGCCCCAGAACCTGTCTTCTCACCAGCAAGCTGGTTGGTCCACTATGTGAGTGCGCTGCTTGTGGGACTCAGTTTGTCTGTGGCTCCTCGGACTCATTAAGTCCTTTGGATGAAGGAAGAAATGTCTCAACAACAAAAAAACTGTCAAGATGACCTGACTGGACATAGTTGGATTTTTTTTACCTGGATTTTTGCGCATGAACTTTGATGTTTTGAACCACTTTGGCTATGGCTACCTCAGAGGAGTCAACGGGGGAGAGGGCAGACCCCAGAGACCATCTTATCATTAGCAAACTGGTTGGCAACGTGGCTTGCCATACAATCACCATCCGCACGCAGCCATTTGACCGCGCACTGACCGGCCTTGAAAGAGGCAAAAAAAAATTTCACTTAAGCTTCAGATGGGACTACCGGTACTGCCAGGCAGCAATCCATCAAAGCCCAAATGGATGTTCATTCAGCCGCTGCACTCAGTGGACGCGCGCGGCCGACGACCCAAATGGGTGAGATCCCAAAATATCTGACATGTCAGAGCAGGGTCCGTGTCTGAATAATGCAGAATGCAGAAGCAGGGACTTAATGCGCTTTGACGGACATGAAAGGACAAACACCCCCCTTAGATCCAATCTTCTGCCCCTTTAGCCACTCGTGTCTGTGGACCATTAATAACTATATAAGCAGTCAAAGCTTAATTAAAAATGCTGGGGTTTTTTTTCGGGTTTGGACCTGTAATTACTGTAATTCGTTGGGTCGGGTTCGGAAATTATGGCTACGGATCGGGGTCGGGTCAGATTTTTTTGGACCCGAATGCAACTTTAGTTCGAGCATCGATCGGTTTACAAATTAAGCTTAAAAGGCTTCAAAATGTTAAAAAGTTAAAGAATTGTAACTTTTTTTGGTCTAAAATCAAGTTTTTATGAAACTGGCTTTATTTTTTATTTATTTAAAATGTCAATACTCAAAATGCTGTTTTCATTATTTTTCTGCAAAAATTTACTTAAAAAAAAGGTTGTTCAAAATAAGATCGGACATGTCACACAAATGGATGATTGATGGAAGAGCCGCACGATCGGCATGGAATTTTTATTTAAAATAAATAATTTTAAATTATTTAGCACATTTGTGCAGCCCAGAGCTGCAGAAAAACTTCACCTCTGGGCTGCACATATTGCAAGATAAGCTTCCTCCAGCAGCTGATCACCTGTTCTCCTGCAGAGCGGAGAAGTGGGCGTGGCCAAGAACGCTTGCAGGTGGCAAAGAGCAGAGGAAGCAGGGAGCTGAAATCATGACATTCTGTGCTCTTTTAGAGAGTTTAGAGTTTAGAAACATTGTTTAGAATATTGCAAGAGCGTGGGAAAGGTATAAAATGCCTTCAGATATAAATAAATACTAAAATAAACTACTACTTGTACTACTATTTCTACATGGCGGTTTTTCAATTATCGCGGGGCTTCAGGGTACAGATCCCCAACAATAATACTGATTTGCAGAGCTACGAATAACCGTTTAGAAAAAAAACGTAGCATAAAATACAACGACGACGAAAACACAACTTACACACATGATCTCTGGGTAGTCCGAATTTACGCAGTAAAACCCTGTAAATACAAAGTTCAGTGAATCAGTTTAGAGTTTGTAAACTACACAAAAGAGTTTACAGTCTTGTCAAAAGTGTGCATGTGCGTGAGACGGATACCAGCAGATGTGTTTGCACAGCTCCCGCTTCCTGGTGAAATCAGCACAGGTGCACGTATGCGGGTCGCCCAACAAGACCTACAAACAACAGCATGAGTTAAAATCCTCCTCTGCTGTGTGAGGAGCATGAACCCAGAGCGATTTACCTTCACGTATTGGGCCTCTCTGTCCGTTTGTCTCTCTCTGAGCAGAAACGCAGTGGGGCCGTAGGTCCTGATCAGTAACATTGTGCTGCTGAGGGCCTGGTCCTGATGGGAGCAGACTGCATCGCTGGCTGTGTTCCTCCACACACTGTTCCTCACCATCCTGTCAATGCACAACAAAAGAGGCCATATCATGGTAAAAAGACGGTGAACCCTCTTTTAAGTTCTACGGTTTAATTTATAAGGGCGTAACAATCTGATCTGGTCTTTACCAGGTTCTAAAAATATTCAACTAAAACACAATTCTATGTAGTTCTGAGCGGAAAAGCATTGAAATTTATTTTTGTACTTTCATAACTAAAAATAGACAGATAGCTAGACAGATAGCTAGACAGATAGCTAGACATATAGCTGGACAGATAGCTGGACAGATAGCTAGACATATAGCTAGACATATAGCTAGACATATAGCTAGACATATAGCTAGACAGATAGCTACACAGATAGCTACACAGATAGCTA